TATTTCTGGACCGGCCAGAGTCTAAACTCTTGTTTAATAAAATTTCTTAGCGCAAAGCTAGACCGTCGTAGTAGTAGTAGTAGTAGTAGTAGTAGTAGCAGCAGCATTACCAGTAGTAGTAGTAGTAGTAGTAGTAGCAGTAGCAGTAGCAGGAGCAGCAGCAGCAGCAGCAGCATTACCAGTAGTAGTAGTAGTAGTAGTAGTAGTAGTAGTAGTAGTAGGAGCAGCAGCAGCAGCAGCAGCAGCAGCAGCAGCAGCAGCAGGCGGTAGCAGTAGTAGTAGTAGTAGTAGTAGTAGCAGCAGCAGCAGCAGCAGCAGCAGCAGCAGTAGCAGTAGCAGTAGCAGTAGCAGTAGCAGTAGCAGTAGAAGTAGCTATAGCAGTAGCAGTAGCAGTAGCAGTCGCAGGAGCAGGAGCAGGAGCAAGAGCAAGAGCAGCAGGAGCAGGAGCAGCAGCAGCAGCAGCAGCAGCTGCAGGAGTAGTAGTCGTCGTCGTCGGCGACGCCGTCGTAGTAGTAGCGGTAGTGGTAGTAGTTGTATTAATAGTAGAAGTAGTAGTGGTGGTGGTGGTGGTGGTGGCGGTGGTGGTGGTGGTGGTTGTTGTTGTTGTGGTCGTTGTCGTTGTCGTTGTCGTTGTCGTCGTCGTCGTCGTCGTCGTGGTCGTGGTCGTTGTCGTTGTTGTTGTCGTTGTTGTTGTTGTTGCTGCTGCTGCTGCTGTTTGATGTGTATTACTACATCGAAATCACAGCGTCGAAGAATAGCAAAGTGTTGTTACCACTCCTCCTCCTCCTCCTGCTCCTCCTCCTTCTCATCCTCCTCCTTCGCCTCCCCTCCTGCTGCTGCTGCTGCTGCTGCTGCTGCTAACTGCTCACTTGTCCTAATTATTGCTGCTCGTGCGGCTATTGCGACGGCTGCGATAGTCGCAAGCACTAGCTGCCTCTCCTCTTGCTGCTGCCGCTGCAGGGCTGCTGACGTGGTTCAGAGGTATGGAAAGGCAAACATGCACAAATGGATTTGTCCTGAGCCGTTGTGCCCAAATCCCAGGCAACGAGAACCAGATGTGGGAGTGGGATTCTGGCAACACTGGCAGGGTGAAGAACAAATATGGCATTTGCCTGGATGCACCCAGCCCACAGGCGGGCCGACGGGCAGATCGCTCATAGAATGTGAGGGGTGTCCTGATCTTCTGTCAAGGATGCATTTCGATTAGGGCTTCTGGCGGTGTATTCCAGGCCTCAGTTCCTATCTGCATTCTTCGTCTGCAGTCCGGCTACAGAAGGTGGAGGAGGCTTGGAGTTGAGCCATCCCTGGTCAGGTCCTGGGGAGTGGTGTGCACATGTGGACCTGCGACGAGGCGATCACCAATCAGAGATGGCGCTTCGTCCCGGCCGGCACGGAGACCAGGGCCATGAGTTTAAAGGTTTGGAGAGAGAGAGAGGAGAAGCAAAGGCCGTTCGGTTCGTCGGGAGTGTTTTAAGTTTTGGGAAGCTCTTCCCAGTCATAGCGAGCGCGGCCTGAGGAGAATTTCACCACGGCCGCGCCTTCCTCTACGAGCACCGCCTCGGGCTCTCCCGGGGAGACGACGATCCTCGGAAGACTGAAAGATACAGAGCACAGGATTCCCAGCTGGTCTCCTTGCGCTTCTGCTTGCTGCCGGACAGTGACCGTCAACCAAAGCAACACAGCTTGGCAAAGGCAAAGTCATGGCGATCCTCTCAGGTCTTAGTGTTCGTAAGAAGCCAATCTCCGCTAAGGAGCACGACAGCAGGGCCGACGACTACTACGACCACGACGCCCGAGCCGTTGTCTGCTTTTCGAAACTGCCAGCTGGAGCCGCAGGGATCTTCGTAAAAGTCTGCAAAGGGCAAGCTCAAGCATGCAAGGATGACTACACGAACTACGTATTCTCTTGAGAATGTACTCGAAGTCTCTATCGTGCTTCTCCCGTTCAGCCGGCGAGAAGGTAGCAAGGCCTGCGAGTCCTACTGCAGAGCTAATTGTCACATGACAGCTGTGCTGTGCGCCATCGAAGGAGCGTACGGCGCAGGCGTACGGCTCTTCTCAGTACTACGATAGCCAGAACTGCCTCCCCTAAGCCCTGTATGGTTCCCCGCTGACGTACGCATCACGGCGGCCCGAATATCTCCCAGAGCTCGCGAGGAGCCACTCGTGGAAGGCTCCGGCTGCAAGCTCCTCGAGGTCGCCGAGGGCACGGAGCCTTTCGGCTCGATTATGAATTCTTTTGGATGTACAGCTTTCTCGGACGTGACGCATCTTCAAGCTGTTGCAGTGTTATGCAGTGTTGACTCTTTCCAACGACGGTGAACCTTAACCTTCCTCGAAGTCGCGGTGGAAGCGAGAGAAGTCTCCAAGCGTACACTGGGGGTTGTAAACCCATGGTTTCTGGGTTGAAGCTTCCTGCCGTTTGCTCGACAAGTCCAGCGTCAGGTATGATTTGGGCGAGAATGGGCAGGACTTGCGAACAGTCGCCATGAAAGCGATGAAAGCGAATCAGCCCGAACCTGACAGCTTGATTCGGCCTCCCTACTTTTCCTTCTACTCGGGAAGTGCAGACAGCGTAAGTTCTGCAGGAGACAGCCGGCCGCCATGCTTGCTTGAAGAAGCTTCGGAATGTGTCGGAGGCGCGTATTCACACGATTCTCGCCTTGTATTTCCCAGTATTCGAAAGATTAAAGTTCGCTTCGCCATGCAGCGCCAGGGTTTGCAGCGCGATGGCCATGACCCGCAAACCTGACACCTGTGTTCCGCATCCGTGCAGTTCCAGATTGAAAAGACTCCTGCGCCATATCTCTCAACGGTAACCGAGGTCTAGTAGAAGGTATCGACGTCATAGATCACCGCCATAAACTTCAGCAACTAGGTGGACCTGCAGAGCGTGAGATACGCAGCTCTGCCAGGCAGACACCCTTGTCCACTCTCTCGGCCGGTCGCTGGGCTGCTATGTTTGTCATTTGTCACCACACTTTTCATTTCTGTCACCGGGTTGCTTTCTGTTACTACATGCATAATGAATTCTGAATTCTCAGCAGATAAGAAATACATGAATTTGTATGAGTCACTGCATGAAGGAGCCAATGGACGAACAGATGGAATGAATGAGTGAAATGGCATGAAACGAAATGGGATGGAATAAAATGAAATCAATGAATGAATGGATGACTGGAATGAATGGATGGATGAATGAACGAACAAATGAATGACATGAAACGACATGCAATGGAACGGAATGCACGCATGCATGGAATGACTGAATGGAATGGTGGAATGAATTTATGAATGAATGAAGAATGAAGGAATGAGGGGATGAAGGAATGGAGGAATGAAGTGAAAGAACGAATGCATGAATGGATGAATAGATGAATGGAAGAATGAATGAACATGACTCGGGGAATCGAAGTTACCTTGATTCGGATACAATCATGTGCAAGATGCGCGATAATTACATATAAACATATGTGCATATATGTGTCTATGCTTAGTACCTTCTGTTGCGCGTAACTGTTGGAATCCCTCTTGGCGCGTTTCTGGAGGTGAGCATGCTGACGAGGTGTCGTGAGTGATGCTGGTATTGATTACATGATGACGCTCATTCTTATTCTATCGCCTAGGCCTAGTCGTTGTTGAATGTCATTGCTTGCGCGCTCCTGATGGTAGATGGGATGCTGCTGTTGCTGCTGTACTAGCTGCGGGCTGCTACCAGTAGCAGCTTTGGCTCCGTCTGTCTGGTTACCTTGCCTTTATGGGACGGGAAGATCGACGATTGGTTCTGGCTTGCAGCAGGAACTCCCCTGATTCTCAATTAGCAACTCAACAGCGACCGCAAGGTGTGAACTCTGGCACTGCTCCACCCTCGCCAGAGTTCGCATGTCCTCTGGACCTGGCGGTGGCCTCTCCGAGTCCCCATATGCTGTGCCCGGGACACGCAGAGGGCGTAGGGGACTGATGTCAGGGTTCGATGAAGGATGTCAAGGTTTGGCGAAGTCTAGGTTGATAGAAAGGGGGCATGGAGTGGTGTTCGTTGTGCTTCCGGATGCTCACGGAAATTCCTTTGCATGGACTCCAAGCTCCCAAGTGGGCAAAGCTTTAGAGTAGAGGCCCTTGGGGTCTTGTCAGTGAAATCCTAGCTGGGTCTGTGGGGCACCCGAGGTAACTTTCAAAACTGCCAATGGCCACTACATCACAGCAGAGGAAGACGGAGCCATGAAGGCTGAGGAGGAAACCTTTGTGCCCGAGGCCCTCTTCTTACTCATGCCGGCGGAAAATGGCAAGTTCGTCCTGAAAGCACAGAACGACCGGTTCGTGAAAGCAGAGCCGAGTGGCCATCTCGCGGCGGTAACAGAGGCCTGGGATGACTGGGAGGAGTTTGAGCTTGTGAAGCATGACAGCGGCAAGGTCTCGCTGCGCAGCTTTCACAACAAATACGTATCAGAAGGGAGCGGTGGATCTGTAGCCGCGGATGCGGCATCTGCCACCATGTTGGAACTTGCGAACCGCAGCCGACACGATGGATTCGAGAACCTGCAGTTTCACAAGACAGTGTCAGATGAAGTCAGCCACTCAGTGTGCGCTAGGCCTGCCGAGCAAGCCGCGGTCCGATGCTGCTCCAGCGATGGTTCGGTGGCCAGTGAAGACCAGTATGGGTGCCACGACCGGAAGAACTATTCCGAGGCAGAGGCGATCTGCAAAGCTCAGAGCCTGGAGCTGTGCACAGAAGTCCAGGCCAAAAGCTGCCCTGGCTGCAGCACATGTGGCTTTGAGACCAAGCAGGTGTGGACTTCTACAGCCTGCGAAGGCACGGAAGGGCTCACCCAGCGGCGTCTGAGCCAAAGGAACGACCACGCCGCCGTCGTCAGCAGGTTCTGTGGATATCAGCCGGGCAAGGGTGGCCTTCATGGTGAGGAGGTAAGGTCCACCGTCTTCGTGAAATTGAGCCTTGGCAAAAGAAGAAGCTTTCGGCTGGAATGAGGTTTGGTGAGCGTTCGTTGGGGAGTAGCAAGATGCTGAAGCAACCAAGGATGGAGTGGAACTACAACGACATTGCCAAGGAGTGTGTGGACCCTCGGCAATTCACCTGACTGTCTCACTGCCAAGTTAAGCTCGCAGCATGACATGGTGTTACGCTGGCTGCTTGCGTGGATACAAGCCGTTGGTGCGGCATGAGTCGTCATGTCGGCATGCTGTCGGAGACGCCGCAGACACATTGCATCCTAGGGTGTAGTAAGTGTAGTACCCATCTGCATCTCATGTTGAGGAATAAACCATTAGAAAGTTTCTGAAAAAATGACGCTAGCATCCGCTGGAAGTTCAGAGAACATGAAAAGATGGTTCTCACTGACCGCAAGGAATACCTGGCTCCTAATGGCTTCGACGCTGTCCAAGTGGCACCTGTCACTGAACATGCGCCTGGGCTGTGTTAGCCAGGTCACCTTCAGTGAATTGGGGTTTGGTGTTCAGGATTTTGGTGCTCTCGGGTGCAGGGAATGCCAGGTGTATGCACCTCAGAAGCTCCAGCACAGCGACCACAGGGTTTTCGCAACTCTCCAAACATTTGTTTCAGCACCCTTGTTAGGGAGGTGCTTTAGCTGTTGCTTGATGTAACGGCGGTATCTCTGACCACCGAGTGGCGTGAAATGCAGGCTGGCTGATGCTAGTACATGATTATCGTCACCCTGCACGGCTGTGCATAGAAAATCCTTCGAACCTCCCCTTTGCCCAAAACTTTCGAGGTACTGGGCTACCAGTGGTGGGTAAAATATCAGCCCGTTTCCGCCGGCCTAGACACACGCTCGGGAACGGAAGCGGAATTCAGGCCGGCTCAGCGTCACGCTTTGGGTTTATAGGAGAATTTGGGGGTCTTGGCGGTCAACCTTGTTTGGTTCGATGTGTTGAGGCTTGATCTATCAGTCCTGCTTGTCATCGCTGTTGCAGGGCGATGGTGGCCACCTGCCGGTCTGTGGGCGTCCAGGTGATTGTGGACATCCTCATGAACCACATGGCCTCTCCTTGCCCTTTGGCCGAAGACTGGGACAGAAGAAGGCTTTCGGCTAGGCTAGACCGTGACAGCAGATCACGAATCCCACTAGTCACGTTAGCCAAATTCTGACTCTCTCACCGGATGGTAGCACGGTTGTCGCGATGTGCTCAGCCATCCAAGTGACATTATAAAACGGCACCGGGCTTTGAGATCCGTTGTTGCTGAGTTAGTTCGATCCATAGGGAGACTGCTACTATTCTGCTGCAGACACACGGACTACCATTTCTATGGGCTCCAGTTACCTGAACAGTGGGTTTACAAAGGTATTTTAACCCAATATATTCATGTAGGTAATAAGCCCGAAACCCTACAACCCTTATAACCCCTAACCATACGGACATGCTCTAATGGCAACGCTTCAAGGCAAGGCAGCGCGAAAATTGAAGAAGAAAGCAAACTGGTCCGAGGAAGAAGTGGCTCAGCAGCATCATGAGCTTGGATCCTACTGAAGGGCAGGGGCACAGGGTTTAGGGCTTAAGTCGCACACGAAGAGGCCAAGACGTCTGAGGTTTCTTTGAGGACATCCGTGGAAGGTTTGATTTCTCCGTCGTCGCTGTGCTGGGACCACTCCCTGATCATGCTTGATTCCGGCTCCGGCTCCAAGACGTATCTATATAATATAGTATTATATTATATTATATTATATTATATTATATTATATTATATTATATTATATTATATTATATTATATTATATTATATTATATTATATTATATTATACTGTACTATATTATATTATACTATATTATATCATATTATATCTATATCATCTGTATCTCTATCTTTAGACCTCTATCTCTGTCGCTGTTTGTTGCTTTGTTTGCTTCTCTCTCCTTCTCTCTCGCTCTCAATGCATATGTATGTATGTATGCATGTATGTATGTATATATATATATATATCTCTGTCTCTCTCTCTCTCTCTCTCTCTCTCTCTCTCTCTCTCTGCACTGAACTCAGGACATGCCTTGTGTCGGCTGGGGTGGCAGCCGCTATGGCAACCGACTCCAAAAGGGGGCACGAGGCCCGGCAGAGCTGTGTCCGACTCGGAAAACTAATCGAGTTGCAGAAAGGAGCCTCAAACACAAGCCTGAGCCAAAGAGTTGTTAAATGATTCTTTTCCATCTTGCTTTCCAGGATGGGACGCCGCAAACCCCAAGCATTTCCATCACAAGAAGGAGGACCGGTTGCACGTGCTGAACAGCTCTAACTGGCGGCTCGTGTCCATGTGGAGTTGCGGCCTGACGGCCGAAGCATGGCAAACTGTGTCAATTGATTGCATGTGTCGCGGCGTCACACCGCGGTAGTTGAACCACCACTCGGGCGCTACACCTTGGCCGAGTGTGAGTGCTGAAAGATCGCCACAGCTCCCATGTTGGGAGTCGGCATTTGTACACGCGTTTCCAGATGCTTGCCGCATCTGGAGTATGAGGTTCCCATCTACGCAGAACAGTTGGATAATCGGAGCCCGTCTCCACAGCACCCACACGCCACACGATAGGATCGTGGAACATCTTTCTGGTCGTCTAGCTTCGGATTCCCCTTGCCCTCCTTGCGATGTGAACTCTTGCGTGAAGGACACCACCCAGCCTCAATGCAAGGCTGCGGAGAATTCACACTTGTCATGTGGGGTAGTCAGAATTTGTGATGGCCCTCGCCTTGCGCGTTGTGCAGTAGATCTGCCTTACTGCTTGGAAACCATGGAGGTTGTAGCTTCATGTGATTCACGGATTTGCCTTTCAAGACTGATCTTAGGCAAAGTTCTTTCTTCCGTAAATTTAATTGGCCTGTACAAGTATAATTCAGTATAATGTATACACACGCACATATATACCTACCTACCTACCTACCTACCTACCTACCTACCTAGCTAGCTAGCTAGCTAGCTAGCTAGCTAGCTAGCTAGCTAGCTAGCCGATTATTGTTATTCGTCAACAGATTGTCGATCCGTCGAGGTGGGGCCGCAGACTGGGTGGCTCTGCCCCGACGATGACTGCACGCCCTGTGACATGCGACTTGGCTTTGCGTGGAGTCAGGCTTCCTTGCTTGACTGAAGCATCGCGGCAGCCGAGACTCTAGATCTTAGCCAGTGTTTTTGTCCGTTGCTGGCTCGAGTGCTTGGGTGAAGCATGCAATCACGACCGGCTGCTGACATGCTTGTCGAAGTGGTCGAGATCCCGATGCCTTGGTGGAGCCAGAGCCACTTGAACCGCTTGGACCTACTCCGGGGTCGAGATCAAGAGGTGCATCCGCCAAGTGCTTTGCCCGAGAAGATGAACCTTGGATGCGGATGCGTCAAAGTCCACCCACTCGTACTCAGTAGGATCATTAGGAGACTGTAGCAGCCAATTCGCTGCTTCTCACTGCAGTCTTGTAAGCTACGGAGCCATGCATGGCCACCTAGCTTCTCGTAACATGCGCTCCCAACATTTGGGCTAAGGAACCAGGCGTCCAGTCCGTGGACTTTGCCGCTCCCTCCACCACTTCCCAACCTGCAAGAATGCATGGCAATGGACGGGGAGGTGCGACGCCCCAGCCGCTTGGATACCCTCGTGAGTTTAGACGTTCCAGTGCTGGCATCCTTGTTCAGAAGTAGCAGTTATGACCAGATGATATATCAGCCGAGGTCCCAACTGGGACCTCGAGCACTTTGACTTGGAGCCCGCTTACGTCCGCTTGGAAGCTGGCCCTGCCGTGAGGGCGTCAGGGCGTGGCAAGTGCCCAGCTCCCTGGCTCTTCGAGAGCCCAAGCAGCGTCCCGAACAAGCCGAGCCCAGAAGTTGCAGGAGCTTCCGTTCCCAGCGACCCGGGGCTCTCAGGGCAGCGGCTGAAGCGAGTCCTCCATGTCAAGCAGGCTCCGATTTACAAGTATGGGGAGTGGTGCGCCCATTGGGCCGAGAAAGGTGGGAGGGCTCCCAGCGACCCCATGACGCCACGCTCCGACTTGACAAAATCCGAGTTTGACGTGCAGTACGGGGCTTGGAGGAAGGCCCTGGTGGAAGGGCCTCCGCGAGGGCGGGGTGCCCGAATCCTTGAGCTCGACCAGCACTTGCGCGAGTTCTGAGTTCTGAGCTGTGAGGGACTTTAAAAGACAGGGCCATGCCTTGAAACGGCAGAGCCTTTCCTTGAAGAGGCTTCTATCCGTTTGGTAGTTAGTTTGTCACTACGCTACTCAAATTCCAACATGTCTAGCGGAATCCTTACATGAGGTGACGTGCTTGGTTAATTGGACCGCCGCCGCCTCGGCTGGCTCAGTGCCGGCATCCCTTTTGCCACACGTGGGAGTGGTTAGGCCAATACTGGGCCCCCGCCCATGGACCTTCCCTTTGCTTGGGCTTGGAACATCTCGCAACTCCGTATCTTCATCTAGATCTTATAATTACGGCCTTTGTGGGTGGAATGGGGCATAGGCCTACCTTAAGTACAAGTCGAAGTCCGAGACAACCCACCAGATCCAAGCCTGGCCTCCCGCAGCGCGGCATGGAGCTTCTTCTGGGGTTCTGAAAGAATGGGCCAAGGGCACAGACACGGACATTACACACTTGAGAGAGAGTCAGCGGGTGAGGCTGTGGATATGTGTATGCTTAAGGGAGCTTTTCCATAAGATTCCCGAAGCATGCATGTACTTCAGGCATGTGACATGTGTGTATGTGATCTGCACAGAGATGTACAGACACAGAAGCAACAGCAGTACTCGTGCAAGTGGAAGCAGGTCCTTGCAACACATGTATGCCATGAATTTGTTTGTGTTACGCCCGTTTGCATGTGGCTTCACCTTTCGCAACCCCAGTCTGACCGCTCCTTTTTGCTCTATAGGAGACCAGACTGGCTCTCCGGCCCTTCAATTCATGGAGATTTGAAACTGCCCCTGCGCCAGCCGCACATAAGCGGCGCGCGTTTGCCCGACAAAATGGGATCAAGTGCTTGCCTGCATCTTGGACTGTGCTTTCTCGTGAGCCTGCCGATGCTCTCCCGCCAGGCGGGACGGATTAATTTCCAGCTGGTTGTCAGTCATATTCGTTTATGTCATATGTGCTCTTCTGCTTGCTTCCATGATCTGGTGCAAAGGTATGCCTTGCCTGACTACGCGACAGAGCTGAAAGAGGTTCGGGAGATGCAGGCCAAGCATCTGGAGGCCACCACAGGGCACCTGGCGATTTGGGGTTTGCTGTAGTTCCGCTTTGATTCTGAAAGATGAGCGGTAATACGCTATAGATGCAGGCAATATCTACCGCCTCTGGAGACACCCCCAGTGCGCACAGAGCTAATGCTACGAATGAATGATTTCATAAGTAAGTAAGTAAGTAAGTAAGTAAGTAAGTAAGTAAGTAAGTAAGTACGTAGGTAGGTAGGTAGGTAGGTAGGTAGGTAGGTAAGTAAGTACGTACGTACGTAAGTAAGTAAGTAAGTAAGTAAGTAAGTAAATAAGTAAATAAGTAAATAAGTAAGTACGTAAGTAAGCACGCAAGTAAGTAAGTAAGTAAGTAAGTAAGTAAGTAAGTAAGTAAGTAAGTAAGTAAGTAAGTAAAACAAACAAACCAACAAACAAACAAGAACATATACGTGTGTGTACAGTGTACATATATATATATATGTATATGCACACACCACACACAACCTTACCTTGAAGACTGGGGTTTTATGCCCTTCAGGGATTCCTTGATGAGGTTCAACATAAGCCTAGACTCCCACAGCTTATACCCACAACTCTGAACGAGAACGGGCGCAGAGGCACTGGCCCCGAAACCTTTGGCTCGATCATCTGGGCATAGGGTAACCCAGAGCTTTAGGGTTTAGGGTTTAGGGTTCGAGGTGTGAACAGTTCAGGGTTCCCATCTTGAATTGCTTGCTTCTGTCAGCGACTACATACGGGTTTGGATTTCAGGAAACGCCGGGCCACGTCGAGCACATACCCTGAACCACGTGCGCTTTATCTCCAATCGTAGCTCTGGCAGGAAGTGTCTGAGTTCTGTTTGCTAGTATCATCCTTCTGTTTCGGGGCTAACGCTTAACCTCCCCTTTGAGAGCAAGAAATGTGCCTCTCAGCGAGAGAATATGGCATGTTAAGTAGCCGGGAGCTGTGCAGTCTTCGGATCCCCTGGTTTACTTTGCGACCTGCGGGGTGTGGTTCGCTTTGGCATTGTTTACTGAACAAATATGCTCCAAACCTTAACCATGCCTAAGCTCAGTAATCTAAGCCCTGAACGAAGGAGCAGTCCTGAGCAAAGCAACATAAACTCCACCCATCCTGAGCCAGGGACCCTCCACCTTGGGGCTTAGGGTTTAGGGCTTTTAACCCGAAACCTCGACCCTACTTCCTGGACATCAAGCCGTTGATCCTGAATTCGAACATCAGTGCTTGGGTTCGCGCCAGGCCTATGCAGCGGCGACAGCCAAGTGCCACTGAGACACCGTGCAGTGTAGGTTTTTGCGGTGCTCGCGCAGTCGCAGAGCGAGCGCGACTTTGTCTGTCCCGGCGGGGTCCATGAATCTCGGTCGGGCTTCCTGCTTGCTTCAGACCGCCGTATTGGCAGCGCGCCAGAAGAGCTTGCAGCAGATCTTTGGGGCGTTAAGTATTCAGCAGATTAATGTAGGGGCCAGAGTACTTGCCCATATTCTTTGGGGTTCCTGAGTATTCTGGTTGTACACTATACCCCGAAACCGCCTGGTAGATTAGGAGGAGGCGCATGGTTCCTCAAAATGAGAAACTCAGGACGGGGTTCGAAGGTATTTCTCAAGCTCTATGAATCTACGACCATTAGAAGCAATTTTCCTATAGATATATATTATATCTATCTATTTGTTTCATTTTATATTAAATGTTATAATATTATCTTCATATTATGAAATGACCGGTCTCGATCCGTATTGCTTACAAATTGCAGATTTAACTCGGGTTTGTATGAAAAAATCTATTGAATTCTCTTTTTTGAAAGACTTCCGATCTAGATTTCATGCCATACTTAGAAAATTTATAGATCTGTAAGTTTTGCAAATTATTCTTGATAAGGAAAATAAGATTGATTTCTATGAATATAAGGCGGCAAATATAAATTAAAAAAAATCTATGGAATTATTTGCATATATATATATATCGATGGAATAGAAGGGAGGTTATTCGTTTATAAAGAAAGCATGATATGGGAGAAATATAATTAATTATATGTTTTTGGGTTTGAATAAGAATTATTTTATATATATATATTTTTTTCGTGTGGTATTATATATTTAAGGTGGAATAGGAGAGAGGTGATTTAAGAATATATCGTTTTATGGAAGGAATGAATTCTTATTTTAATTGATTATACGATATATATAATATGTTTTTTTTCAGTAACAAACGATGCTAAGCACAAGGTCACATCTTATAATTTAATTTTACTGAAATATTCTTAATAAAACTTCTATATTATTTTCTTAATCTGAAAATATGAGGGAATATCTAATGAATTAATGAAATGAATTCGATAGAGAATCTTTAAAATAACCCGATATTTTTTTATATGATAAGATAATATATTCTTCACGAATTCTTTTCTATTTTTTCATACTTTTTAATATCTAAGGTCTTTTCAATATTTTTGGTTGTATTAACTATATACTTTCGGGCTTAGAATGGTATTATATATTTTCTTATTTGGAAATAATTACATATTTAGATTTTTGGCATAGATATTGGTAGCTAGAATTGCTATTTTAGAAAAAATTTCGATAGATATATATCGATTAAAGAGCTGAAAGAAATTCGAAACGCGTAACATTTATTCAATTTACAAGAAACTACTATCTCTATGTACATATTCATTAATATATATTATATTATAAAGACCAAATCCTACTTCTTATAGAAAATCATCAATCTCTCTAAATTATCTTTTCACTCAAATCTTTATAGAAATACTAAAAAAAAACAATATTATTCGTGCTTTTTCAAATATTAA